TATTATAAAAAGAATCAACAATACAAAGAAGCACTAGAAATTGCCAAAGAAATTATTGATTACAGAAATATAAAAATGATTGTGGCTAATTGCTATAAGGAAATTGGTCATGACGAATCTGCTTTTAAACTCTGTAAAGAAATTGCAAATAAAAAAATAGAAGATTCAAAGAAAGAAAAAAGATTTAATGAAGTAGAACAACTTCTTAGAACGACAGAAGATAAGTTCAAAAATGATCTTGAAATTTGAAAACGTATTAAAAATGAATATAAAGACTTATCTGAGATTGCAGTTAAAAAAATCAACAAATACAATAATAGTCGTAGAAGGGCTAGGCAAAAAATTAATGATTTAAACAAATATGATGTATATTAAATTATTGGCTTAAAAAGAGCATTATTCATTTCTAATTAAATATGCAAGTACAGTATTTTTAATTTAAGGGTAGAGAGTACTATTTTAAAATTATATATAAACTTATATTTAATTTTATAAAAATTTTTATTAATTAATTTTAATTATTAAGAAAAGTTTGTAGAGCACCCTAAAATAAAAACACATTATACAATTCATGATACTTGCTGATTTAGATAAATCATCCGAACTTAAACATGATATTGCAAACCCAAAATTTACAATTGATCTAGGTATTATTGTGGTTTAACTTACCAAAAGATGGGCAGATATAAAGAATCAATTGATGTATTAAACAAGATATTGGAAATCAATCCAATTAATGAAGAAGCTTTAAGAACTCGTGGGATAGTTTATTATAAAATAGGAAAGTATAAAGAGTCGCTTGTTGATTTAAACGAATCTTTAAAAATTGAACCACATAACGAGTCTGCATTATACTACGAGAATCTTATGTAAAACAACATATAATTTGACTTAATTTCAAATTTACGAAAATTTTGAATGTGTACATTTATTTATACTGTAGTACAGTGGCGGTCATAAATAATGCAACAAAAAAAAAATTTTAGTTAGATCGAATTGTTTCACGCAATTCCGGGGTGTATCTGTTAACTTTTTTTTTATTCCTACTATAGTTTTTAAAAATAAAAATTTTAGAAAGTATCAATAGGCCAAATTTTTCACAGGTATG